ATTTCTTCCCCAACTCCTGAATATTCACTTCCTATACGGGAAGAAGGAGCACATAAGCCTACTATTTTAAGCCCTTTACAAAAGGCCTTGCAACAAGCTACTAAAGAAGGTGAACACATTCCCGGATTTTCTTTAGCATATCCAGTTCTTGAGGATGCTCAACAACAAAGATATTATGAACCCATTCCTTTTAAACAACTAAAAGAATTAAAAATGGCCTGCGCTCAGTATGGACCTACTGCTCCTTTTACTCAGGCCATTATTGAGAGTTTAGGAAATCAATATCTGCCTTCAAATGATTGGAAACAAGTAGCTCGTGCCTGCTTATCTGGAGGTAATTTTCTACTCTGGAAATCAGAATTTTATGAAAATTGCGCAGCTACGGCTACTATTAATCAGAGACAAGGTATTCAAATTACTATGGAACAGTTGACTGGAGAAGGACAATATCATGACACTAATTCCCAACTAGGATATTTACCTGGGGCCTATCCTCAAATAAATGCAGCAGCATTAAAAGCATGGAAAAGGCTGCCAAATTCCGAAACAAAACAGAAGATTTATCAAAAATTCGACAGGGTCCTGACGAGCCATACCAAGATTTTGTTGCTCGTCTTATGGAAACTATTGGTAAGGTTATAGGGGATGAACAGGCAGGAATGGTCTTAGCAAAACAACTAGCTTATGAAAATGCTAATTCTGCTTGCGAGGCAGCCCTTAGACCTTACAGAAAAAAGAGTCATTTAGCTGATTTTATACGAATTTGTGCTGACATAGGGCCATCTTATGTCCAAGGAATAGCCCTAGCTGCTGCCTTGCAAGGGAAAACTGTAAAGGAAGTCTTGTTTCAACAAAACCGTCCCAAACATAATTTTCAGGGAACTTCCAGAGTTGCTGGACCCCCTGGCAGTTGTTATGCTTGTGGCCAATTAGGGCATCAGGCAAATCAATGCCCTAAAAGGGGACAACAGCCAACGGGCCAAGATACATTAGTCACAAGCCCAGGTTTATGTCCCAAATGTAAAAAAGGAAAACACTGGGCCAAAGACTGCCGATCTAAAACTGATATAAACGGGCAACTTCTGAACCAGGGAAACTGGGTGAGGGGCCAGCCCCAGGCCCCGAAATAATGTTATGGGGCATTTCAGGCAACCTCCCAGATCAGTCACAATCCGTTTCTTCCCAGACAAATATTTCAGACCTCTATAGAGCAACCCCGGGAAGCGCAGGATTGGACCTCTGTGCCTCCACCTACACAGTATTAACTCCAGAGATGGGAATGCAGGCCCTTCCTACTGGAATTTATGGGCCCTTTCCTCCTGGCAGTGTGGGGCTATTGCTAGGACGCAGTAGCACAACTATGAAAGGATTGTTAATTGCTCCGGGAGTAATTGATTCTGATTTCGAAGGAGAAATTAAAATAATGGTTCACTCCCCACAGACCATAACAACCCATTCCTGCAGGGCAACGTATTGCTCAATTAATTCTTTTACCCACTCTTACTATGGGAAAAACTAAAACTGAACGTAAGAGAGGCACATCAGGTTTTGGCTCTTCTGATGCTTATTGGATACAACAAATAGACAACCAAAGGCCCGAATTAACCTTAGAAATTCAAGGAAAGAAATTTAAAGGAATTTTAGACACTGGAGCAGACATCTCTGTGATTGCCGCCCCTTATTGGCCTGAAAACTGGCCAAAGCAAGTTGCTCTTTCTTTGCTGCAAGGTATTGGGCAATTGCACAATCCAGAACAAAGCTCTGCTTTTCTTTCTTGGAAGGACACGGAGGGACACTCTGGAATTTTTCAGCCTTATATCCTCCCTGGCTTACCTGTTAACTTGTGGGGAAGAGACATTATGTCTAATATGGGGGTATTTTTGTATAGCCCTAACCCCACTGTCTCTCATCAACTATTATCACAAGGACTATATCCTAATAAAGGCCTGGGGAGACATAATCAACGGATTACTCAGCCATTACAAGTTAAAGGAAAGAGAGATAGAACAGGCTTAGGGTATTTTTAATGGGGGCCCTTGACTGTCCTGCGACTCATGCAGACCCTATTGTATGGAAATCTGATCAACCTGTGTGGGTCGATCAATGGCCCCTTTCTCAAGAAAAAATTGCTGCTGCAAAACAATTGGTGCAGGAACAATTGGACAGCGGGCATATTGCTCCTTCTAATTCACCATGGAATTCACCCATATTTATTATTAAGAAAAAGTCTGGGAAATGGAGATTGTTACAAGATTTACGTAAAGTAAGTGAAACTTTAGAATTGATGGGTGCTCTACAGCCTGGCTTGCCTACTCCTATGGCCATACCCGATGGAACATATAAAATTATTATTGATTTAAAAGACTGTTTTTATACTATTCCCTTATATCCTGATGATTGCAAAAGATTTGCATTCAGTGTTCCTTCCACAAATTTTAAAGAGCCTATGCAACGATATCATTGGCTGGTTTTACCTCAAGGTATGGCTAATAGCCCCACCTTATGTCAAAAATTTGTTGCTAAAGCCTTACAACCTATTCGTTTGAAGTATCCAGATGTTTATCTAATCCACTATATGGATGATATTTTGATTGCACATTCTCAAGAAGGCTACTTGTTAACGGTATTTGATCAAATGTTAATAGCCTTAAATTCTTCCGGCCTTCAAATTGCGAAAGAAAAGGTTCAGAGATTTTGTCCATATGCTTATTTGGGTTTTCGACTACATAATTTTACCTTTCAAACCCAAAAGATTCAATTACGAACTGATTCTTTATTAACTTTAAATGATTTTCAGAAATTTCTGGGCGATATTCATTGGATTCGGCCTTATTTAAAACTTTCCACCGGAACTTTAAAACCCTTGTTTGACATTCTTAAAGGAGACACCAATCCTGGTTCTCCTAGAAAATTGACTGCTGAAGCTTCTTTGGCTTCACGTGAAGTAGAACAGGCCATTGAAAACCAGCAATGTACTTACTGTGATTATACTCAAGAATGGGGTTTACTTATTTTACCCACTCCTCATATGCCAACCGGAGTGCTTTATCAGCATAGTCCTATGTATTGGATACATATGCATGTTTCCCCTTCAAAAGCTTTAGCTGCTTATCCTGATTTAGTCTGCTCTTTAATTGCAGAGGGACGTACTGCCTCCACTTTATATTTAGGCAGAGACCCACATTATATTACAGTTCCATATACTAGAGAGCAACAAGCTCAGTTACAACAATTTAATGATTCTTGGGCTCTTGCTCTGGCTCACTTTACAGGACGCATTACTACCCATTATCCTGCTGATAAGTTAATTCAGTTTGGAAGTTACATCCATTTCTTTTCCCAAAAAATACTGTTCTTTCCCCCTCTTTCCTCAGCCACTACAGTGTTCACCGATGGGTCATCAAATGGTATTGCTGCTTACATTATAAATGATGAGACTATATCTTGGCAAACTTCTCAAACTTCTGCTCAAGTTGTAGAATTATTAGCAGTTCAAGCTGCTTTAATAGCAGTTCAACATGTGCCCTGTAATCTTTTTTCTGACAGTCAATATATCGTTCGAGCCTTGCAAATTTTGGAAACTGTTCCCTTTATTGGCACTGTTAATTCCTATGTCAACCGCTTATTTTTTGACGTGCAACTTATTATTCGCAGTCGTTGTTATCCTTGCTATTTTGGTCATCTCCGAGCACACAC